GTTCAATCGCCATCTCCTGACTTATTTAACCATATTTCTTTTTTGTTCTTTCCTCAATCCGCCGCATTCTCAGTTTTCTCATTCCCTTTCACTTTCACTCCTTGCACCCCCTCCGCGTTATAATGGCATTGCCGCCTTGATTGTGGTGGTGGTGGTGGGTGAAAATGATTATATATATATATATATATATATATATATATATATATATATATATATATGTGTGTGTGTGTGTGTGTGTGTGTGTGTGTGTGTGTGTGTGTGTGTGTGTGTGTGTGTGTAAAATTAATACAAGTAAAGGTTTGTCACTTAGCTGATTGGTGTTACCTTCAACATCCCAACTCCAGAGTTTCATAGACAGACCCTCCGGGAATCTGACCATCCACTCGTCAGAGGATATCAGCAATTGACTGCTTATATTCCTCGACTTCTTTTTCATTTGTGAAAGGTTTTGTTTTGCATAATGCATGTGTATGCGTTCGCGCGCGCGCGGCTGTCTGTGCGCATGTGCGTTCGTTTAGAATGTCGCGGTTATTTGTCCTTTTCGTCTTTTTTTTTTATTTTACACTCATTCCATATTGTTTTTTTTTGTTTTTTTAACCTTTTCTCTCTTTTTCTTCTTTCTTTCAATTGTACTTATTTAAACTTCCGGTTTTCAAAACACACACACACATATACATATATATATATATATATATATATATATATATAAAGGGCATATATAGTTAAATCATATCCTTGATATATAGAGGCCATATATCAAGGATATGATTTAACTGTATGACATTGTTTAAGACTTTAATAGATAACCTTTTTGATAGGAATGTTGTTTTGAAAATTCTGTGTTTCTACAAATAATTTTCAGCTAAAATGCATTAATTTTGTTAAGACTTGAAAAATATGTACGTTCATGCCTTTTCTATAAATATTGTCTCATATCAGAGACAGCTTGTGGAATAATGTTTACGTGTATGCAATGAGTTGGAATTTGAAAAGACTCTTGTAACTTTTGTCACCTCATCGAGGCACATTCACCCGGAGTTATTTTCGAATTTCGGTATTCTGCTTTCTGTCATTCTTAACGCAAGAAATCAGTAGAATTAGCTCGTGACAAGTGCCAAACGTTTACCCCGCAATACATCAATGTCAGCATCTATTTTTTAACTTCTCTCTATTAATTCTTCTCTCGTCTTATGCCATCTACAAAGCTTAGCTTTGTACGGAACAAATCCATTGCGAGAAATTAAGCTCGGATGATTGCGTTGCTCTAGTTATTCGAATGAGCAGGCCTGGTTGATTTGAAAATGTGTATTTTGTCTGGACTCTAATCACGGAACTGGTTGAAATTGTCAAACTGCCTCATTCATAATGAGGATAAAAAACATATCACTCACTATTTACACTACGCGCGGCCTAATGTATTCAATTTTGTTGTTGATATCACAACGTTTCAACCTTATCATGTGGATGTCGATCCGGGTAACCAATAAGGAATTCCGAACTGAACCGTTTATTTAAGCAACAAGGCTAGACTCTTCTCATTCCATTGCCCATGTTGAGGCATGTATCATCCATTTCTTATTTTTAATACTTGTCAGTTATTACATGAATATTTTCTACTGAATCCAAGTTCACACTGCCCGACATACATATATCGCCTAATTCTGTTTTTTTCTGTCATGTAGTAAGTATATACCGGGTACATTAAGCCATATCATTTCCTCAGACAAATAAGAAACAATTCTGTTTTGACTGCATTTCGACAGAAAGGTACTGTGTGATATTAGTGAGTATACATAAGAAAGAAACGTATCAATTACGACTGAGTAGTGAGTTCGATCCTCACTGGGTTCTCCATAATTTCGACCCTATGTTCCATCTCAGCTACGCTTAATAAACTGCCATAAAGAAAGACAATCAGTTTTTGTTTACTTGAATCAAAGTATTCTAGATACGAATGTTCTATATAAGGCTATAGGAAAAAGATAGAGCCAATAACAATTTCATACATCACACGCCTTTTTCAGTGAAATTTAAAAACTTATCACTTTGTAATCTTCTTATTTGTACCCTCTTACTTAATTAAGTAATGACGTGCTTTCATGCATTTTGATTGCTATTACAATATTTTATAAAGTTCAAGATGCTTATGCAATTATCAGATTAACAATACTGTCAGTATTGTTAAACTTAACATCTGTCACTATTTTGAGACCTGTTAAAATTTTGATATGATCTCTGTAATTGGAAATTAGTCGTTACTCTTCCTGATTTACTTGGTCAGCAATAGCAATGTAAATTGCTTAGATTGTTCGCTAACACTTCGAAATAAATGAAAGTATGTTAGAAACAGATAAATAATCATGTTTTAGTGGCGAGAAGAATCATCACTGAAAAACATACAGATATTTGCAAGATAAATCTATATCTATAATTCTCAAAATGTGTGTGTATGTATGTGTGTGTGTGATCGGATGTTTTTTATACGTCTCCACTGTTTTCATCCGATTTCGATGGCTTTTTTTTTTGATAGATAATTATTCAGTGCAGGTTTTGAGTCCAAATTGGCTGGAAAAATTATAACCTTGAACGTGAAAAATCGAAAAAACTGATGTTTCACACTTTGCGCAAAAATCAAAGGCAAAAATTAATGTCTGTAAAAAACAGCGTACAATCAATTTAGGGAGTTGAAATCTAAAGCAAAAGATTATTAGAATTATAAAAAAAAAAAAAAAATTATGGTATATTATTATTATGACGGTCCATGGAATAGGTTCTTTTCTTGCAAGATTGAAAATGCGAAAACGGACTTTTTCAGGGCCACCCTCCATTCAAATTGTTACACCCCATCACACCCATTTGGGGATGTGACTCAGTTGCACCCAATTGTTTTAACTAATATTGATTTACGGGTGGGCTGACTTTAAACTTAAACTTCTCCAATTGAACGGCTAAAATTCCCAGTAATGAAACACTCGGTCAAAAACGGGTTATATTTCTCGTCTTAGGATAATTTTTGATTGAATTTCTGGGATGAAGAGTTATTATTTACATTATTTACATGTGGACTTTTATTCTCATCTTTGTTGTTCTTCTCAACAACAAAGATGATAACAACAAAGATGAGGACAATAGTCCGCATGCAAATAGCAACAAAGATGTCGGTAATAATATAAAATGATTTTAGGGTATCAACTAAAAAATCTAAAATGGCGTACTAATGTTACCTCATCAGAAGAATCACTCAAGGTAGAGAGCTACTGTGTGTTGTTGTATGAGCGTAAGAAAGAGCAAGAAGTGAAGTTTTTGAGGCTATGCAATGAAGATAACGGCTAACTTTAGGCTTGAAGGTCTCAAAAATGTGATTGGAAAAAAAAACATAAGCAAATGAACAGACTTTAGAATGAACCGGAAACACAATACTAAACAGGAAACAAGGTATAAACCTCTACTCCTTTTTCAAAAGAGCGGCAAGGTGTGTAAACTGGACGATAGGTGAACCTGTTTACTCCTAGTCGTAGAAAAGTCAAATAAAATAAAATAAAAATAAAAAAAAAAAAAAAACGCCAGAGTTCAGGCGATGTTAGAAGTATAACGTTGAAGTAGACTTTTGTTCAAACCGAAAACCCAGTCCTGAACAGGAAACAAGGTATAAACCTCTACTCCCGTTCAAAAGACTGGAGAGGGGTGTGAACCGGACGATAGACGAACCTGACTACGCCCATTGGGAGAGGTGTAAAATAAATAATCAGCGGATAAAATTTCAGAGTTCAAACGGGTACGTTAGGAGCATAGTATTGAAGTAGACCTTAGAAGGAACCGGAAACCCAATCTTAAACAAGAAAGCGTCTTCCTGATGTAACAAAAATGCCAGCGTTTGGAATAGCGTATCATTAAAAAATATCTATTCTTACGTAGTTCCGAACGTCTGCATTTACAACCAACAAGAATATATGTTGTTTGGAAGTAAGGGGAAATCTCTATTATTTTATTGCTCACTTTCTGATAGATTTCTTCTTCAGTGAATTTCACGTTATATTTTTTTTTACTCCTCTTTTTTATATATTTTAATGATGTTTTTTTTTTTTAAATTAATTTTAAGTTCTGTCTATACTTCTCGGCTACTTTTTATTTTATTCAGCACTGTATGTATTTATTCTCTTTGGTCATATTACCTCATCTTTTATGAAGGAACTTATTGCATGTTCTCTCTTTCCTAACTTACTCCCTCTCTTTTAAACGCATCTTCTACTCCTTCTTTCTATTTTTTTTTTCTTTTTCTTTCTCATTTTTTAATCGTTTCACTTCAACCAAAGTAATGAAGCCACTAGGACGTAAGGGGCTACTGAGTGTTAGAGAATATGAGATAAACTACTAGAAGAAAAGACAATAATAGAAGAAGAATATGACGATAAACTACATCCGGTAGTAAGGCCTCTGATCAGGAGGTTTTGAGGAGCGTGGAACCGCCTCTTAATTGCTGTTGTTTCTGACATGGGGTGGTAGCACCTGTTAGGGTCTCAGCTATGGGCAAACAGTGACACCCCAAACAAAATACTATGAATGTATAAAAAAAAAAACAGCAATAGATTGTATTACTAGAAAAATATCAAAGCTGCCATGAAGATTAAATTTCGGCATTAAATGATCCATAAGGAGTTAATATGACGTTAAACAAACAAGCATACAAAAGAAGGCAGATAATAACGGCTGGCATTGGATTTAAATTTTTGAAGATCAAAGACGTCATGAAATAATAATGCGGAAGAGAATTCCATAAAAGAGAACTGGGAGAAAAGACACTGTTAGTATAGAACTTATGGTTACGTCTCGCCATTTCAAATGTAAAAGGATGAGACCTTGCTGCCAATATAGTACTGCGCTTAAATTTATAAAGTCCCGGTACCATAGTAGAAAATTCATCCGAACAATTACCATAAAAGTATTTATATTTTGGTGTCTTCTCTATTTGATTTCCTCTCTTTAGATATTTTGCCTTTCCAATGCGCTTCCGTCAGGCCTACGCCATTACTCTTTTTGGAATCTTTTTCTTTATCTTTTTTTTTCTCTGTATATTACGATGCTTTCCCTATGCTGCTTTCCTTTTCCATGTTTCAGGTTTTTTATTTTTCCTCTCTTTCTCTTCTTTTAAAGTTTTATATATCTTTTTTTTTTCTCTCTCTGTTCACGACCTTTTTCTCATCATTCTCTCTTCTATCTGTCGATGTTTTCTCTCTTTGACTTGTTCTCTTTAGGTAACTTGCCTTTCCACTACGCCTTCATTAGCCCACATCTATTTACAAGCTTTTTTTGTTGCATTTTTGAAATCTCTTTTCCTGAGAAGTTATATTTTTCTTTCTCTGTATCAACATTTTATCTTTCTTCTTTCTATCTGATCAACTTCTCTCTCTCTCTCTCTCTCTCTCTCTGCCATTCGCTTTCTTATATTTAATTTTCTATCTAACTTTTTTTTCCATTTAGAAATCTTCTCTTTGCACCCCATCTACGTCAGCCGTCAAGGTATTTATCTTGTATCTTTCTCTCTCTTCAGATCCTGTCTACAAGCCCAATCCTTTTGTCAACCCTGACCCCCACCTCTCATTTCTGTACTTTCACTTTGTGGTCCTCATTATCCAGTTCTTTTTCCTCTCTTTCACAATAGTCCCGCAGCAGCATTTATCTATATTTAGATGCATTTGCCCTTTTCTTTCTTTTTCTTTCTTTCTTTCTTTCTTTCTTTCTTTCTTTCTTTCCAAATTTTTTCTTCTCCAATTTCTCCATTTTTCAAGGTCTCTTTCCTTTTTCCTTTTTTATCTCATCCAATGCCTTGTTTGGCTGCTTTTATTGTCAATGGATGCTTTCTCACTACCCCTTTTTTTTCTTCTATATGTGTTTTCTCTAGTTTTTCATTTTCCACGATTTCCCCCTCCCTTCCTCTCTCTCTCTCTCTATATATATATATATATATATATATATATATATATAGATAGATAGATAGATAGATAGATAGATAGATTGATGCATATATATATATATATATATATATATATATATATATATATATATATATATATCTGTATCTATCTATCCTTCTTCTTCTCTTAAAGCAGATTTCTATACATTCTCTCCCGTTCCTTCCTCGCTTTGCAGATTTTCCCGCTTATTCTGATTTCTCATTCGAAACAGTTTTTTCTCTTTCACTGCCCCCCACTTTTTTTTTTTCTTTTTATTACCTTCCTCTCTCATTTACTTTCTTTCAAGGACTTTTCTTTTCTCTTTTTTCCACTCGAAACATATTCTCCACCTTCTCTCTTTTGAAACGAACACTTTGTGTTTAGCCTCTTTGAAAAAATTAGTTAAGTTCCTTTTCTTCATTTATTTCATTCAATTCTTTTCTTTATGAATTATTTTTTTCATTCTTTGCTATTCTTTCTTGCTGATATCTTTCTCGTATATGGGAAACAAATTTGTTTCTTTTAACGTATGTAACACTTTCTACGGATGAATTTATTTTCGTTATTTCTTTATTGCGTACGGTCGTGTTTTCGGGTAGTTTTCCGTTGTCGTTTGTCTCATGTCTCCAATCTTTGATGAAATTACATGAAGGGAACCTAAAAAAGACATTATATATTATTTAGATCTGATCGTAAGCGGCCTGAAAACAATATGGGTTTCTACGGTCGCCCATATATTCAGCAAATATGTCGATAGACAACCTATCTACTCGGGTTGGGTGGCAGGAAAACAGGTAAGTAGGCAAGAAAATACTAGTACAAGCGGTGGTTAAGCGAACAGAAGACATTCTGGTGTCGGCACAGAAAGAATGAAATATTGAAAAACAGAAGGAAAACAAAATTAAACCGGGAAAGAATATCGTAGAAATAAAGAAAACTGTTTTTATTAAAGATTTGATACTAACGCCGAAATATGATGAAAAAAAAAACGAAAAAAAAAAAAAAAACGAAAAAAAAAAAAACGAGTATTTCAATTCTTTCATTAAAACTTTGAAAGTAATTTTTTTATCATTGAGAATATCGGGGAAAGTTTTCATTGAAAATGTCGGTAAAATTATTTAAAAAAAAAACGTAATTGCCGGCTAAGACAATTTCGGTTTTTGAAGGTAATTTGGGATTAGTACAATATAATTGGAATGATACCACAGCAAAGAAAGAAAAGACATCCGTGGGAGACTGATGATTTTATTCCGGGGGTCAGTCAGTTATGTGCCATGCGTGATACATGCTTAGGCGATCATGTATTTTTCAATACATGACTGAAGAAACAGAGTTTTCCTGCAATAGGTTGCCATTTCTTTCGGCTGTAGACCAGTTGCCATCCATCAGTCTTTCCTGCTATTTACCCATAGGTGGGGGAAGAAGAAGAAGAAGAAGAAGATTCATATCTTTCCCAAGGGTATTAGCTAGTAAGTGAATGCAATAGATTTGACTGGAATTCGAAGTCGGTTCTCCGATTCCTCAGTCCGAGACCGAGTCGCTATCCATT